CAGGAAGAAGTCCTGCGATCTTCGATTTTGGCTTTAAGGGAGGTGGAATACGAACAAGAGGCGATGCTGGCCGCGGCTTATACCGTGGGTATGCTACTGTACGTGGTCGAGGACGTGGCAATGATTACGACGAATGAACCCGAAAGTGTAACAGTTGTTGCAAGTAAGGTGCAAGAATTTACGGACAATGAGAACATTTGATTCTTCGAAGTTTCAAATTTAATATGTCAATGAAAAATCTCAATATCTATTCATTGATCATTGCATATTCAGATTTCAATTGGTTCATTATTTAATTTTTTAGTTTTTTTATTATATTTATTTTCCGTATATGTTCTTACACGAACTTTTTTTTTTGATTCTTATATTATTACTATTCATTTTATAACTATATTACTCTGTTATGATGAAATTATACTGTACTTATAAATAACACATATTTCTTCTTTTTTTATATTCGTGTCTTACCTGTATTCATATACAAAAACATTTTTCAAAAAAAGTTTTGAAAAAGCACAAAAAGCATTTTTAGAAATACCTAATTTTTTGAAAGTTTTTATGTAATCAAATTTTTATTCTTGCATATTAAGACTTAACAATTTAATATTATCTTACTCATATAATAACCACCTAACGGTATTGAAAAAATTAAAAAATTGAAAGTTAATATATAGTTTATTAGCGTTAATTAAATTTGTATACAATTATCACAGAATCGACTATTTTTACATAGATTTTCAACTTTAAATGTTTATTAAAAGAAATTGATCCATCCATTTATAATGAAATAATGAAATGTTGAACTCGGATGGAATAATATGTTTTGAATATTTGGTTAAAAAAAATGTTTTCTTCGTTAAACAATAAAATGTTAAACAGGTTGATAAAAAAAAAAAAAAAAAACTAACCAACAATTAGATTAAACATGATAAAATATATAAACAGTAAATTTTTTTATTGAGCTTTGCTTAAAATTGTTTTACTAAAGAAATGAATAATAATTTCTTTCTTTAAAAATCAATACACCTATAATCATTATCCAGTCCAAGGACCGAAGGGATGAAGAACGAACTTCTGACACTATTATCTAACCATTTTTTGATTCTTATTTTACCGTGATTATACGTGGTACTCATTGTTATAATGTATTATTCATTATACTCATTATTGTGTGCATATTTATATGATTATTGTTGTTATTATTTTTTTTTTTTTTTATTGGAAAAAATTAGCTTATATGTCTTACAATTCGAATGGAAACAATTTCCTACCTTCTATAAATTAAGGTTATAAAATGTAAATTAATTTAATTATCTTTAAAAGTAGTTACTCCAATGTTTTTAAAAAAAATCTTTATCAATACAAATTATTTAATGGTCAGTGTCAGTAGCGTGGACAACATATTTCAAACCCTAAGCAAAATATATAAATAATGACCCACCCCTCCTCATACTCCATAATATATGTATATATATATATATATAAATATGTATGTAACTATTCAATTGTACTACCTATAAGACTTTTTTTAATTTCTTTCAAATACTTAACCTATCTATAGTTTGTGCATATTAAAATATTTTTCAATGTATGCAATTAGCCAATTTAATTGTTTAAATAAAACATGTTCATAAATACATGAGCCAAAGGACACACAGCCCCTTGGTAGGTTACTAGGACTAAGACATTGTATTAAAAAAACGTCGTTCATCACGCTACTGGATATCATATAACCATGATTCAAAATATGAAGACACTAAAAAAAAAAAAATGTTGGGAGACTCCTCGTATTTTGGCTGACCTCCTAGTGATGTCTCCTGGGTAATGCTAATAAACCGAAATCGTTCGTTCATAAATGGGAATCAATTCATACCTACCTTAAATGAACCCGAGAATCAACTAATACATAAATGAAGTCTTGGGAATCAACTCACCAACACCGGATTTAAGTAGCGAACCTCAATTGTAACCGTTAATCTAACTCGATAAAATATAAAACCCGATCTTAATCCGTTAATCAACACTCGGAAAAAATTAGCCCGTTTGACTTTCTGAAAAAAATACCGAAAAACAAGTTTAACATTATGTTAAATTTCGACTAGCAAGAGACTATCTAAATGTATTACTTTCCTTAAAATATATAACTCTGTGTTCATTTGACTTCAACACTCTACAAAATGCCTGACAAGCCATTTTATGTAATACGCTAATAGGTACCTACCTAATTCAGAATTATTTACTTAGCCATACATTTACATTTAAAAATTGTAATTATGCCAAACTTAAGATATTTACTACGATTACCTATTTCAGTTTCATGTTTAAGTTTTAATAAAAATGAAAACAACTTAATTACCTATACTGCTAGATACAAGAGATTGATACAAATTGAGATTAAAGACAAAATAGTGATTTTAATTTAGGCGTACAAAATGTAATGAGAAATTCGTCCCCGATAAGGATGTTATCTCTTTTCTATGATATACAAATTTTAAGCTAAGTGGTAAGCGTGACTGCTTTTAGTACATTTCAATACACTTTTAGTTAATTTTTTTCATATAATTTATATGGTATTACAAACAGCCGATTTATTAAGTATAGTACAGGCTACACTGTAGCTGCTACAAGTTGATATTTATTGTATTCGAATTTATTTCTAGAAAATAAAACAACAAAAAAAATCCGATAAGAGACTGTAGGGTTAAGATTTCATTGTTCATGTAGTATTAATCGTATTTTCCCCTATTATGGATATTATATTTTATCATCACAAAGCGTCAACAATATATTGTTGTTTAATAATTTATTATTATTATACTATGCATTCTTCAGTATAAGTATATAGGTATCTACAGTGCCGTAAAAATCATAGATGCAAGCGGTGCACAGCACCGGGGTTCGCAGGGTCAAAGGGCCCATAACAGTTAAACGTCAATTTTTTTTAATTTGATTCATAATTATTGTATTATTATCTTGTATTTAATTCTATACAACAATATGTAAAAGTCTGGTCCGTTTTATTTGGAATTGTTTATCTAAATATTGGGAAAAATTATAAGCCTAGAGAGACATAAATAGATTACTTTTATATGTACCTATACTTTTATAATTTATTGTAAATCATATTTATAAAATCCATAATCATACATTCATATTATATATTTTATCTATCTTTGTAGTTTATTCTACAAGTTTTTTTTATTAATAAAATATCCTCGATATACAATTGTGATCTTGTTTACCTACTAAGTTGAAGCATTACACAGAATTGTTTCAGTATCAGTATTTCAGCATTTAATACAACCACAAATACTACCCGATCTAAGAAGTAAAAAATTCCCATAGTGTGAAGTCAGTCCGACTTTTTTATGTAACTCAAGAAAGAGGGGCCCATGTACATTTATCTGCACTTGGGTCTTTGACACTAGTTATGGCACTGCCTATCTACTAAATATAACATTGAAGTTAAAGATTAAAATCCCACACTTAATTTTTCACAGGCGTACAAATAATTATGGCGCGCGAGACTCATAAAATGGCGAGTCCCTGGCAGCTGCCCTCCCGCCGGCGTTGTAGGTACGACTAACAAAACTAATGACTTACGTTCGGGACCAGTGTTATTTAATCTACTTTTCTTTATTTATTTTTACGTTTCGTTCGCAATAATTTAGAGGTGTAAAAAATATCAGTAAAACCGTACAGTTTAAAGTAATAGGGGAAAATGTGCTATAATCGGAGTATGAATCGGAATTTCGAACAGCGTAAAAGAGAATTTAATAGAGGATAAGTATTGTGGAGTTACTATAGAAAGAATAGGATAAGAGTTGTGGTTTTGGAGTAGCATTAGTCGTGAAAAAATTTGATTGAGAAAATATTGAAATAATCAGAGCATGTTATGCATGAATATACAAGGCAGGTGAAGTGAGTTGTCACTATACTGTACTACATTATAAAATCTATAGGATTCCTTTACATTCTGTATTTCAATCATTATTGTTAATGAGATTCTTGAGTGTTTGAGATGGCATTTGCTTCATTTACTCTGAACTGTATTGAAATTTAGATTGCAGTTAAATAAAATGTAGATAGGATATTTTAAGTTTAGTTTAAAAACATATTCAAGTGTGAATTTTTAAATAATTTGTAAATACTACAGAAAACAACAAATGTATTGTCAAACTATGTTTTATATCAAAATCATTTTTCATAAGTAGCCAAGCGTTTTGACCAGATCCAGATATTTTTGATCTCATCATTTATATCCATAATAATTTTACCTATAATATTATGCAAATCAATAATCATGATAGAAAAATAATTAGGTAAATATATTATTATTCATTATCTTCTTTTAAGTTTTGTTGGTCATTATATACACACACATATAAATGTATATATACACATCTACTTAGTTTACTAATTATTTACTTCATAAGTATCCTGTTAGTAAGATCGATTTTAAATTTTATAAATATTTAAAGCCTATTGTATTGATCAATTGCTTTTTAAGTTATAATAATGATGTGTAACTAAATGAATAAACCCACAATAGTTAATAACTATCACTTTATTAACTATACATTTTTTTTTTTATTTATTATTATTATTTTGAGTTTAAGTATATACTTAAAAATAATTAATTCCTTTGTTAATAAACCCTAACCAATATCATACTAAAATATATGCAGATGTACCAAATTATGTTCAGTTTATCTTTATTTTTATTACATTTTACTTGAAACTAACAATCTTGTTTTGTAATAGTTTCAATAATTAATATATAAATTATATATAAAAAAAAAAATGTATGAGAATACAAAATATAATATACAACAAAACATTTACATCTTAATTAAAACCAGAACTTCTAGAGCTATCTAATAGTGTTCCTTAAAAACTATCAAACTGATCCATAACATATTTTCTGGGGATTGACATTAAAAACTATTTATGGAAAATATATTGGCATTTATTTATAAGGAAAAATCCCATAAAATATATACCATAGTGAATCTAACTGTATATTGTATTAACAGTTAAAAATTAACACAATGAATAAAGATCATAAACATTTATACCCTTTTTGACATTATGTTGGAGTAAAATATAACAATAAAATAGATAGTTATAAATTAACAGAAAAAAATTAATATGTTTTATACAAAAACAAAAATAATAATAACTAAGGAAACTGTATGGCTCTTAAATCTTTTAACAATGGTTCCAATACCTTTTCTAACCCCAAAATATTGCCAGTATTTGCTTTTTCAGCAGCCACAAATGTTACTAAAAATCTTGGGCAATTTATTTGGACTACCTGAAATAGAACATTATTATAGTTAATTCAATCATTTTTCAACATACAACTGTATTAATATTATACTGATTTCAGACAAATTTTATTGAGGGGAGGGTCTAAACAGTATGTCCACAGAATAAGTTTATTTTAACATATTCCTTGATGAGAAATTCTAGAAAATTCTTCTATAAATTAGTTAGATATCACGAATAATACATATCTCGAAGTGAATTTTTATCCCCCCTTCATCTTTGAGTTATCGCGACTCAACTGTATAAGTAATATAAATTAATATAAATAAAAAATAATAAAATAATAGCAAATAAATAGTGAATATATAGTGAATATAAGCGTTTGGAAAAATTCAATAATGAAAATTGTTTTGTCCATTGAATTTATATTCATAAATAATAAATGAAAATTCAATGTTACTTTTTTTTTTTTATAAGTGTCTGAAATATATATTTTTAGTGATTGGAAATTTTATGGACCATTTAAATAATATTAATTTTGAATTTTTTATTTTGTGATGAAACACAGGTAATATGTGAATACCTTGTTCCTTTTTTATAAAACTTAAAAGTCATTATTGTACTGTATTTAATTTTTTCAGATTACCCATAAAATATAAATAAATAATGTAACACAAAAAACATACAATTTCAAAAATATTAAATACACACTTGATTATTTGTATAAAAACAAATAACTGTTTTGTTTTTTCCAAGTTCTAGTTTTCCTGCTTGTTCCGATGCAGAATTAAATTCTGACAGAAACGAATGTTTAAAATTGAAATTGTGTTCAGATGATTTATTGGCATGAGCTATAATATAAATAAACATTATTAAATTAACATTTTTTAGTTTAATAATTTTATCTATGATGCCTAATATTAAGTTCGAATAAATCACATAAATTGTCACTTTAAATTATTGATTACCTCACAGTAAATGTATCTATAAGCTAATTATGAATAATTCTGTTTTTAGGGTACTTAATCAGAATTAAATTTTTTTTAATTACTAGTTAATTTTATTCCTAAATATCTATAAAATATTACCTTATATTTTGTTATATAGTACATTACATTTATGTATACCAAGTTACAAAGGTACTTCAAATTATATGAATAAATTATGAAAAATATGAATTTAAATAAAAGTATACATTTAAAAAATGTAATTTCATATAATTTTGTTTAACCTGGATAATTAAAAAAAGATTTTAATCAGTTTGAAGCTTTTATTTTAAGTATCATATGAACCCAATAGCATTAATTATAAATACTTTTTATAATCAAGGCCAATTATTAATAAATTTATTTGAATATAATAATTTAATTAATTAATTAAACATTAATAAAAAGTAACTCTACTGAATTAGCTTGTTTTAATTTTTTGAATGGTATATAAAGGCATGCATCCTTAATTGCATAAATATAAAATGCACAGATACAGATATGGCAAACACAAATTATGTATTTAAACAAAATACTGACTAAATATTATAGCTATTATTAGTCAAAAATAGAAATTAAAGAAGAGGTATCCATATTAGAGCAAGATATTATTTACATAAAAGGTTCATTCAATATATAGATAGTAGAAGATAGGGAAGTATAAAATAAAAATTGGAAATAATTAGTTATTATAAAGAAAATAAAATATCAAATAGATATATTACAGTACTTACCTTTTAGAATTACTACACCATCAAAATCAGATATAAAAATTGAATAAAGACCTTCAACTTTGTTTAATGTTTGCTCTAAATATCTTCTAAGGTCCTAAAATAATTGATTCAGAAATAATTTATATATTAATCATGAAAAATTAATAGGAATTAGCATTTAGTATTAAAAAAAAAGTATACAATTTAATTATATTAAAGAAATAGTTTTACTCATAGATAATAGTGAAAAGTGAATTTTATAGCGATCATATATTGTCCTAATTAGAAAGGCTTATAGTAATGTAATTAATTATAAGCTTACCTATAAGAAATAGGTATAATACATTCATATGATCTACAAGAATTTAAAAAAATTTAACAATTCATCTGTTCATACAATAAATTAGTTTTGACAAATAGATAAAAATGTAGAAACATTTTATTAAATATATAAATACAACCTGAATTACTAAATCTTCAGAATATTTTAAAACAGTTATTTAAAAAAGAAATACAATAAAACACTCAACAGTTTGAAAAACTGATTTAAACATTTTATAAAACATATGAACTTAAAACTATTTTACGATACTGCTGTATCACAGAATCTACAAATATTATAATTCATAACATTAAAAGTGTACATACACATCAAATAAGTAAAAGTATGTGGTAATTTTTTGATTAATATCTGTAACAAGAACTGAACGAAAAAGTAACATATCTTTTCACCAACAATTAAATGCAATGATAATAATAACGAGTTGTTTTAATCTAAACAAAATGTTATGGTCTGGGCATAAGATTTCAAGTGCGAAAATGTTATGAAAATTCACAAAACATTGTCAAATAAGTTAAGAATTTTTTCGGCATGTATTTGAAAATGACTTTGATTTAATTTTAACCCAATTTATGGAAAATAAAAGTCGTACCATATTCATTACGTAACACATAATGATATTTATGACTGTCAGAATTCCAGTTATAACTACCGACATGTAAGTTTAAAAAGTCTTAATAATAATTATGGTTCTAATTAAATGATTAACCTCCATAGTATAATTTTGTGATGTATCCGATGGTAGAACTATTATATGGTGCGAAAATCGTTTTCGAACATTCGATGTTTTGATATCGGCTACAAATATTAATTTAATTAATAGTTTAAAGTATGTTAAGACCGAACGATTATTATTTACAAACGGTTAAAAATTCGCAATGGTCTCAAAATATAATAGTAAAAAGGAAAATAAAAACGACGAATTATCACACCATCAACAGTTATCAATTTGTTATCAAAAACAAAATCCCCATTCAACAATTACTCCGTCAATAGATTATTTAGTGATCCAATATAATTGTTAAATATTAATTCCTATTTACAATGTAATTCGTCTAACGATGAGCTGTTTGACTTTGTACCAGTCGCGGATCCAAATTTTTGATGAATTAGTGCATCAAGACAATGAAAATATGGTTGTAGTAAATGCATGGACCTATAAACTAGTTAATATAAATAGATAAACTCAATAGATTTATGGGTAAATGAATATTTGAAATATTGAACAAAGTTCTGTGGTAACATATTTACATCTTATTGGTAATTTAAATAGATTCTTCATTCATTAGATAACATTAGTTTATTAACAATTATAATAGTTGATTATCCAAAATTGTATTATTTTTCCTTGGAGAGATGATTTGGTGTGCAGCAGTTAAAGAAAATAGCCACAACTATCTGTGTTTGATTAGTTTGGAAAGAACATTAAAATGAAAAATCTCTGCTGGTTTTAAAATTACTGGTTATAACTCAAATGTATTCTGTAATTAAGATATTACAATACAATATGTACTAGTAAGTTTAATGTTATATAACTGATAAACTGATGTGAAGAAGAAAAATGTGAATTATCATCAGTTATTACTATTCATGAAAAAAAATCAGTAATCCTATACTTTGGAATAGATATTATTGCCAAACAATTTTATTTCAAGCACAGTATAGTGAAATTACTTATGATAAGCCAGGTCAGTCTAATATTAAAATTGTAGTTCAAGAGAAATATAAACTTAATATTTCTCTTGAATTACAATTTTAATAATTTTTATATTATAAACATTAACTCAATTAAATTTGATACAATATGTAAAAATATATTAAAATTAAAAAAAATGTTATTGTTAATAAAAAGTTGTAAAAAGTTACTTGCCTAAAGAGGTATTCAAAAAAATCGTATCCTGGATTTAATATTTCATGGACAATGCTTCAGTACAAGTGCATACATGCAGTTATAGATTATTACATTTTTTGTATACAAGATTTATTAATTAAACAAACATGAAATGTTATAATAACTAATAAAAATATTATTTGTACACATATTGGAACACTGAAACAGTCAATAAAAAATAGCTCATTGTAATATGGAACATTATAGATTTAATCTATCTAAGTATAAGTCAATATAAAATAAACTGCTTACACAATTATGATAAAAAAAAAGAATTATTAACAGAAATATTAACTCAACTACAGTTTATCATACATTATTGATACATTATTATACATTATTGTACCTATATAATATGTAATAAATTAATCTGTATTCTTTTGAAGTTTATTTACGTTAGACTTGATACTTCTTTCAACGCTAACTTGTGAAGCTGCATGTGCCAATTGTTTACTAAAAATAATTAAAAATGTAATAAAAATTACTTTTAAAAATTTATAAATTGGTACTTACATTAAAAACTCTTTACTATAAGGTTTTTGTTTTTTTTCATCATTTTTATCTTCTCTTCTATAACGTTTAACATTAGAAGAACGTTCTTTATCTCTAGTTTTTGCATCCTCCATCATTTCTTTTCTCATTCGCTCCATTTCTTCTTCAGTCAATTTCTTCTTCTTAACAGGTGGTGATTTGGGTCGAACAATAGTATTTTTTTTTATGTTTGCCGGTGGAGGACTATTGATTGGTTTTTTTATGTTAAGACCTTTTGGAATCTGTTAAATAATAAAAAAAATTAATATAAAATATTTTTACTTCTTAATTTCAGGAATTATATCATCAAAACAAAATTAATAATTTTTTTTTTCTTTTTTTGAAACAAACAGAAAGACTAAATTTTTAATTTTAACTGCCGGTTTTTTACATAAAATAATTAATTTTATACTATCCAAAACCATAGTAACTAAGTTTTAATCTTGATTCATTTTTCAATAATTATATATTAAAAATTTGCATTAATTTACAATTCTATTAGAATTATTTTCATAATTTGTATTCAATAGTTTGGTGAAAAATTTATTTTTATAATATTAGCTATATTTTTAATATTTTATATTATACACATAAATTATCAAGTTCATAATAAATGAGATTTTAAAGCTGTTTTCCAGAGAAGATCCTAAAACAATTCATATGCACTTTTAAAAAAATCTATATACCAAGGACTTGAGAGCATTCGTGGTCTCTTCAATAACTCATGTGCTTAAGTCACCACAGATTATAAATTAATAAAAGGTAATCAATTGAGTATAAAAATATCTTACTATTAATCCATAGTTCTTTTTTCCAATGTTTTCATTTTTTTCATTATCTGAATGAAATTCTGGGCTATGTAGACGCTTTGAAGACTGCTTTACTTCTTTACTTTTTTTTCTCTCATCATCTGAGCTAGAAGTGCTACATGACTTCCGTTTTGGGTTTTCTTTTATCATATCATTTCCTTTTTGATGTTTTTTACTTCTTTGAATACTTTTTGATCTACTTCTTCTATTACTCGAACTTGGTCGATGTCCATGACTGCTTATTATATGTTTAGAAACCTTGGACTCATGTTCTCTATCAGAACTATTTCGTCGATAAAACTGTTTTTTTTTTTTCTAACTCTTTATCTGAACTTAGAGATTTGTGTCTCTTATTATCATTGTATCTTTTCTTTTCATTTTTTTCTTCTTGCTGTTTAAATTTAAATTTATCATCTTTTTTATTATTGTCTTCTTTTATATGTTTATTATATTTGTATTTATCTTTAGAAATACTATCTATTTGTTGTTGACATTTTTCTTCAGAGATTAATTTATTATGTTCATTCCTCTTTTTAATAAAACTTTGACGATCATCATCTTCATCTGTACTAACTGACCTATGTTTTGCTTTACTATTATTATTTTTTTGATTCTTATTTCTCTGATGTTTATACTGATTTGTTAATTTATTTTTAGAAGAAGAATCAATATCATTTGAAGATGAAACTGATCTGTGTCTATCACTTCTATTTTTATTTTCATTGCGTTTGTGATCTCTGTATTTAAAAGTTTTTTTTTCATTTCGTCTCTTATTGTCTTGCTCAAAATCAGATCTTTGTATATTTTTCTTTTGTTTATCAGTTAATCTCTCATTATAATTGTTTTTTTCATCTTCTTCAGAACTAGACATAGCTGTTTTATGTTTACTTTTATGATCTTTCTTTTCCTTATGTTTCGTAATAGATAATATTTTAGCAAGATCCAGTCCAGCTTTTTCATAGGATTTTAAACGACTAACTAATATCATATCTAACTGGCGATCCTCAATAGAAGGTTTTTCTAATTTCATCTTTTGTTGTTTTTTTAAAAGCATAGGGTTTTGTAGAATTTTCTGTGTACATTCAATTTCACGCTTTTTGATATTTACCAATGGATCTTCCAAAATTTTTTTAGTCATATCTACTTGAGAAAATGTATTGTTTGTTGGATATTTTTGTGGTGGTAGGATTGATTCTAAAAATAAATACACCAATTTAATTAATACATAAACTATTCTTGAACTCCTTAGTTAATATATACTTTTTTTATGTATGGCAATTAATATCATAAAAATATACACAATATTATTTTAATCTTCAGTTATTCAGGTTTAAGTATAAGCTTAAATCTTAAAATATATTTAAAAATCTTAATTTTCATAGATGTATATTATGCCTTGAAATAGCCAATTTAATAAATTTAATTTAATTTTATAAATATATATATAAATAACTATTTCTCATTCCCATGATATAGAATCAATTCAAAATAACTTTTTAAGGTATCTATCCTATAAATACTATATCCAAAGGTTAGAACCCCATTCTGCTTATAAAGGAGTTTCTGGTTTTTTTAATATGGATTCTTTACAGTACAGAAGGAACACATAAAATATAATATTTTTATTTAAACTCATAACTGGTACGACTAATTGTCCATTCCTTGTCAAACATTTACAGTTTAAAATACCCTCAATCAATACGCGAATTAAGAACTTGTTCTACTTAAAAAATATTTAAAAAAAAATATATTAGAAACCTCGCCAATAAACATTTTAATGGTAGCAGGTAATGCAACTGTTATTGATGTTCTTAATCATGTTAATGTCGATACATTCAAATCACTTTTAAAATCAAAAAGAAAATAATTCAAATTTTCTATAATTCTTGTTATTTTTAAAATTTAAAATTATTGTTAAATATGTTTTTTATTATATTATACTTTCATTTTCTTTTTTTTATTATTATTTTCATAAATATTTTTGTAATGTGACTGATATTGATTTTTTATTTTTGTTAATGTTGCAATGCTTAAATTATATTTAAAATCAAAAAGAATATAACTCATATTATTTTTAAATTATTGTAGCATATATTACTTAATAATTAGTATATTATACTGTTATTATAAATATTATTGTAAATAGAGTTGATTCCGTAATAAAGAATATTATTATTATTATTATTATTATTATATATTATTATATTATATAAATAATTTAATTTTCTAAAAAAAATATTCCAAAAATAACTAAATATTGTAATGGCTGTTGAACTTATTTAAGTTATTTTATAATATGAAAGTATTTAAAATTAAATAGTTACATGATTATATTATTTAATATCTCACACCTATGACTTTTTTTATAACTATAACATTTTAAATTGACGCATAAAAATGTTTGATATTGTATACACCAATTTAGAGTGACTACAAAATTTATAGAATATTAATCTAAATGTAAAATTTGATTTCTCTACAAACATTTATTTTTGTTGGCACATTGAGGAAAAGCAATTAAAAATTTTCAAACATAAACTGTTCAATAAAATTACCATCGTCCGTTGTTTCATTAAATTTTTTGTCAACTTTTTTCCCCAACAGATAATCTTCTTTTTGTATTTTGATACCATCATACATCCAATCCATGACGAATACTTTAGTAAAACCTACAACAAAATGTTTATTAAAAATTAGCAATAAATTTAACCATAAACGAATCATAAAATAAACATGCAGTAAAATTCACTTACAGAATTATATTGGACGTAATGTTACACTAGTGGCTTTTAACAACAGTTTCAAGTCGATATAATATTATTTATCAATTTGAACTAAAGTAACGTTAATTTACGAAAATAATCGACATAAAATAAACAGTTAAAACTCAAGACTGGTCAATCAAAGTAATTATTTTTCAAATTTCAATGCGTTGATTCGTGTTTACAATAACATCGTTATCTCAGATATGAGCAACTTGATGATAACAGGAACATCCGAACATTATTTGTATTCTCATTGCATATTGTATATGCTCACGGTAAACCGATTTTGAACATAGAACCACAGAACAATAAACAGTAGAACCTCGATTATCCGAGGTAATGGTGAGGAAGGCTAACCACGGATAAATAACAAACACGGTTAATCGAGACATTTCATTAAACGAAAAAATATATAATATTGTATGCTCATTAAGTTTGAACTATTTTATTTTCGAAAATTCTATAGCAAATGCTAAAAACACACTAAATAATATGGAAAAAAATTCGACAGAATTGAAAATTTCCTATACGTATTAGTTATAACGTGATTAGATAAATATGATTGTTGAAGAACCTCTAGTAAGTCACTATTCATCTTAAATAACTTATCTACCTGTCACAAAATGGCCATATTATTATCGTTGAAAAGGTCGTTTACGTTTTTCGACAATTTGTATTATGTACGTAACATGAAAATACGTTCGTCCGACCTAATAAGACTTTTCAGCATAGGCGCAAATAGCGTTTGAGATTTGGGGGGGGCTGAAGCCCTAGGTACTGAATTTTGCATCATAAACTATAATAATACTAAAAAGGCTAAAAAAAAATCAGAAAATGTTTGGGAGGGCTATTGAAGTGTTTGGGGGGGCTTAGCCCCTAAAGCCCCCCCCTATTTGCGCCTATGCTTTTCAGACAAACAATTTCTAACATGCATCGCCTTGTCCCGGCCGTATGCGCGGCACCGTATCCGCAGTCGGTCCTGCAGCAGGACGAGCGCGTGTTCCGTGCCTCAACGTCGACATTGTGTTCGAGTATTGCATTTGCAAAAAAACGGTACCAACGATTATAGCTGCACACTATACACAGTTGGCCGGCTAAGAGGTTTCCGACACTCGACTAACTATTGAGCTGATATTACGATATCCCTACAGGTAGAAGTTAAAACAAACGGGTTTTTATCCAAAACTACAAGTATCGAAATGTTCGGTTGTTTTACATAATATTACCATTTTAGAACATGAAAAAGTACCTCCTATTGATCCTCTAACAGTGCAAAGATTCAATGACATTGCAAATATTCAAATAATGATGATATTTTATAACAATTTTAATGTTAATAATATTACAAGAAATTATAAAACAAGACGTTCATTAATTAATAATTATTTTAGAAATATGTTATAAAAATGTTTATTTATATAGTTAGTAATAAACAATGCTAATTATTTAATACTATTTAAATTTTTAATTTTTTTTTTTTTTTTTAATTTCAATATTAGTTTCTAGAAGTTCTTTTTGTAGAATAAATAATTCTTATTCATGATATAGTTTTATTTCATGTTCCTTTTTGGTAATTTATAACTGTAATTTGACCGATTCAATTTTTTTAGAGCTAAACCTAAGTAATGTTTATTTGTGTCTGTTGATTTTTTAACTTTTTTATGTTGAACTGGTTCTGGAAAAAAATAACAAATATTAGTTTAAAAAAGAGCAACAAAGCATAGGCGTGCACACGGGTGTGGCTTATAGGGCTATAGCCACACCTGAGACTTTTTTTAGGTAGGTAGGTGCAAAGTACTTAGGTAAAAAGGGCTAATAGCTCTTTTTTTTTGGAAATTCCAAATTTTTTTTATTTATCAATTTTATCAAATTACAAAAAATTAAAATTGCCTGAACTGGCGTTCATTGATAATCAAATTGTACATCAGTTTTTCTAATAAATTTTATTTCTACTTACTTATGTTTTGTATATCTATTTTTTTTTAAGGCGGGGTTTTATAAGCGGGTGGGTGATAAAAAAAAATAAAAGCCACACCGGAAACAGGAATCTGTGCACGCCTATGCAACAAAGTTTATAATTTTTAGTGAAAAAGGAAAAGAAAAATAACAAATATTATAAAATATTTAATTTAGAACAATATTTGAAATCAAATATTATTTATAAATAATTATATTAGTATATATTATAATTAATTTAAAAATATAGTGTTGGTATATTATTCTTAGTAATAACTAATTTATTGATTTACATATATACATACCTATATATATATGTATATATATATATATATATATGCATTATTTACACATAATAAATATAACTTACTTGAAGTTTGTGTTGTTGATGCATATGGGTTGTTGACTGTAGAAATTTCAGGATGTTCAAATTGATTTGACCTTTTATAATTTAAGCTTGAGTGAATGGTGCAATATACGCAATATGCACCCTTTCGACTGTTGGTCGACTTCTATAATCTTATTATGAACCAAAGACAACCTTTCTCGATCATTCACCCAGGTCTTATTCTAACGGACAATACGACCCGAATTGGATAGTAGGAAATATCAAAAGGGCAGTTGACTTTATGAATATGGACACCTTACAAAAATATAATTTTCCTTATAGAAAGAATGAATTTCTACTGAGGATTTGAAATTTTTGTAATTTATAAACCCAATTTAGTACCTAATAAGTAATAATTATGTAAGTTTACAATTTTTTCTCATACTTCGATGATTGATTAATCTATGAAATTTAAATTTAAATAATGGTATACATATAACGGAAAAGATTCGTATTTTTTTTAATATTTTACCACGCGATGATCAAAGTTCTAAAATATCAATATACAATTTATTTGGGGAAGGAGTAAGTATTATAATCTAAATAAATTTCATAATACAAACTTTTCAGTGTGTTTGGGCAATAAATAAAAATCTTTAGAATAAGCCCTGCATTCACCCATAAGCCGACATAAAGAAATTTCAGTAGGAAGTTGCGTCACTCACTCGACTTCCAATTTAGTAGTTTCATCTAACCGAAGCAAGTTCAAGTTGGACACACACCGCTTAGCAGCTTCGACGTCCTGTAGCTCGACAAGTTCTTGCTTGCCATTCAAAACCTTTACTACTGTCACTTTACCGTAAATGCAAAACAAGTTAAACACTATCATCGCAATTGATGGCCATTTTTTCCAATCGGTATACGATCAGAAATTTATTCGGCACTTTACGCCAAAAAGACTGTGAATTACGTAATGGTCCGGTTAGGGACGTTGCGATACTACCGATACCAATAAAATATCGATACTTTTCTTTCGATACAAGTACTTTTTGTATCAATACCCATGGTTTCAATACTTTACTCATATCGATAAAAAAAATACTGGTATCGAATCATTTACTAACCGCCATATTGGTTCGAAAATCAAAAGTGGTCGAATGGTATCGAACAATAATTCTTTTCTAGTAAAATGGTTTGCGTGCGTGGAGGAGGATTTGCTTATATAAATCAGTCATTGCACTATAGTCTATATTATGGGTCACCAAATGGAGGTCCGCTAACAAATTTTTCCCGGCCCTCGGACAAAAAATAAAAACACATATTACGATGATATTCTATGCGTTATTATCAGGGCTCGGAAGTTCTAGCAAATGCATATTTTTCTTTGTTCATCCTAGAACATCGAAAGCAAGATACAAATATGTTTCAAATTATTTGGATATCATACACAAAATTTAATTTTGCTATTTTTTGCATATTTACGGGTTTTATTGCTATTTTGCTAATTTAGGGTTTATAGTGCTATTTCTGGGTATATTTTCACATAATACAGGAAACAATCACATTTTGCTGATAATAATGATTTAATTAGTTATAGTTTTAAAAATATTTGAATTATTGGAAATAAATAGACATCATCAATTATTATTTTATTTTTTCATCGACAATTTGATGTACTAATATTTAGTGACTAAATACAATCATTTAATTATAAGTAAACTTTTACAAATATATTTAATTAATTTAACATTTTTGTTAAGTTTATAATTCAATTAGTCCAAACGTCAACATGTCCAAATATTTGTAAAATTACATTTAATTTTTTTTGTAATAAATTTATAATTTTTTTAACATAAATGCATATTTTTTGATTTTTTTTGCTATTTATAGCGCATATTTTAGAGTTTTTAAATGCATATTTAAGAGTTTAAAAATAAAATTTTTAGTGCTACAACTTCCGAGCCCTGGTTATTAATATTTCCATTGTTTCTTAAAACAAGATTTCTGACTTTCTGAGAAAAATTCTTAACGTTGTACGCTTATAGTCATAATAAGTTTCATATACGATAAACTCAGAAATTTTTTGCCATATTTCTTTTATCGCGACTGAAAAATATTTAAAAATATGATTTTACGTAATAAAATATAGAATATTTTCAATATTTAATCCATATTTCAAATAAAAATACATTGTTGTATTCAAGCCAGGATTAATGGGGGGGGGGGGCATGGCCATGAGCCCACAACGGATATCAAACGATAATAGGTCCCTGGCGGATAGTAGTTTTTTTTGTTTTTTTAACTATTTTTTTAGTTCGTATAAAAAACCAGTATAGAACGAGCAGTTCTCAAGTAGATTTAAATAGTTTAATTATTTTGTTTATAGAGAGTATTGTATTGGAGGTAATTAATATCGATTATATAATTAAAGAGTTTGCTTTCCAAAAAGAAAGAGAAAATTATTTATACAAATAAAATTTTTATTTTTGTATTAAAAAAAGCAAGAAATAAATTTATAAATTAGAATAAAAATTTTTATTTGTCTTTGAAATATATTTATGTTTGGGTCATCAATATTTTGATTATGGTTGTGGGCCCCTAAAACTGTTTATTCCCGGGCTCCAAATTATCATTATCCGGGTTTGGTTGTATTTGTAGATAGTTATATTCTAACATGTGCTATAGAATAATAATTTTAATAAAAATCGTTTTGAAACTTAAATGAGAGTGTATAAAAACTTTTTCAACTTTAACAGATCTTAGTATTTCATCGGTTAATGTTATTCATAATTAAAATTAATAATTTTAAATAAAAAACATTCACATTTAAATAATATTTTTTGGCATCATATTGCGACAGGAGCAACGATGAGACAATCCATGTCCAATATTACCTGATATT